GGGAAATCTGGACTTTGAGGTAGCCACTAAACACAGCACCTCAAAAATCCCTGCTTTAGCTGCTATTATTACGTTCATTTTTTTTCCTCTTATGTGGATGGGTGTTTGGCCTGCATGCATACCTGGGTGCCACTCACATGCCTGGTGGCTGTGGAGGCCAGAAGATGGCTTTGATTTCCCTGGAACTGGAGTTACAAATGGTTGTGAGCTACCAAGTGGGACTAGAACCTGGGTCTCTCGGAAGAGCAGTCAGTGCTCTTAACTGTTGCTCCATCTTTCCAGCCTCTGTATTAGCTGTTACTTCAAAGAGGATTGTCACAAAGACTTCTGAAAGCAGAAGGAAGAGGAGAGTGTTCTGGACAAAGGCTTTCAATGATCCTTGCAGTCATCTAGAGCCCCCGGGGTAAAGCAGTGAAATCGTCTAAAGGATATTGTATGAACCTGGCCGTCTGAGAGAACGGCTATCCTACTCATAACTGGTGCACCGCTGAGGCCCAGGTCACTGATCTTTTGTTGTTTGTTTTATCTTATTTGTCTCCTTAGTTTGTTTGTTTTCAGACAGGGTTTCTCTGTTTTGCCCTGGCTGTCCTGGAACTCACTCAGTAGACCAAGCTGGCTTTGAACTCACAGAGATCTACCTGCCTCTGCCTCCTGAGTGCTGGGATTAAATGCCTGCGCCACCATTGCCTGACTTGACGCTATTCTTTTCCTGCTGTTTTGTTCTTAGCAGATCCCAGCTGGTAGAAGTTAAGATCAGAGAGGTGATATGCAAAGCAGTCACATCCGCTTGCCTAAGAAGCCTTTCCTTTGATCAACCTAACCTCACCCTCAGCTCAAGCTCTGAATGCACTGGGATGGCTTATGCCCTCTTGCCAAGTGATCCTAACTGGATGATGGTCATGTCTATGGGCCATGGGTAGCACAGGAAGTCCACACTCCCACAAGAGGCAGGGTACGAGGTACTGACAGACAATACCCTCGGGGTATTATTATCCTGCTCTAGCCAGAGGAGGTAGGACTTGGAAGCTGAGCTTCCAGTGGGAGAAGCCCAGGTGTGGGCGTGGTAGCTGCCCTGCTCACAGGGAAAGGTGTGTTTGAGAGGCAGGCTGGTGCCCAGGCTCCTGGCTGTTGCTGAAACTTTCCAAACCACAAAGCTCTTAGGGGAGCTCCTGCCAAGGCTGATCCCAATCAGCCTTGCTATCGGCATTGTCATCTCTTCCACGGACATGCACCGTGTGCTGCGAGCTCCGAGGACGAACCCTTGAGGAGCTTTGCCTTTTCAGAAGGCCATGCTGCCTGTTCATCCAGGCACGCTTCCCCAAGAATGCCTACAAAGCGGGCCTCAGCATCCCTGGTCCAAGACTATTTTCGCAGGAATGTTTACGATAAAGGCACACTTCTACCAGACCACCCACTGCGGTGGTCTCAGCATCTTTGGTCCAGCCACGTTTTCATAGAGATGCCCATGATGCTGATCTGCAGTCCTGGTCCAGACACATTTCTATAGGGCTACTCACAATGCTCGTCTCAACATGCCTACCCCAACACACACTTCCACAAAGATTCCCAGGATGCTGATCTGCATTTCCCGGCCAACATCCCTCCCTTCTCTTCGCTCAGCCCACTTCTACTACCCCGATCTAAAACCTTTGGTTGTGGGCATGCCCCCCTACCTGTTTTCATCTTTGTTATGACTGTTAACTTGTCAGGATCGAGAATCATCTAAAAGATGGGCCTTAAGTTGCTCGTGTTGGGCCGTGTGTCACAACAACAACAAAGGTAACTTAAACACTTGTCTTCCACAACCGGGGAGGAGCTATTCCAAATGATAGTGATCGTGAAGGCGAAATATCAAAATCTTTTGGACCTTGTGGGCTGTAGCATTCAGCCAGAGATTGTCACTATTTCCAGTGTCTAGGGACACCAACGACAAAGAGGAGTCTTCACCTGGTGGGGCTGTGAGGGTGATGATGGGAAACCGGCACTAGAAATTTTCCTCCGGCTTGGAAAAGGAGAGGATTTGACTTGTCAGCACTTGCCAGCAGGATGGGTTTGCCAAGAATTCTGCATTAAACAAACACACACACACACACACACACACACACACACACACACACACACACACCTACATCACCCTTCATCCCAAACAAGCAGAAACTCCTGGATAAGGAGGCAGTTCCCAGTCAAGAGGGTAACGTGGGTTCATGGCCTCGCTGACTTCCAGAGCAGAGGACCTGAAACCCAGTTCTCCCTGTGTTTCTCTTACTGCAAAAATCTGCGCTCCAAAGTGAGGAAGTTCAGACTTCATTCTGACCTACAAGATTTTTGTTGCTTCTTTTAGGCAACCTTTGATGAAGTAGCATATATATTTCTCAAAGCCTTGGGAGACACTTGTGTCTATATCCTCTGGGCTGGCTTAGTCTTGTCAACTTGATACAAGCTAGATTCATCTGGGAAGACATAACCTAACTAAGGAATTGCCTCCATAAGATTGGCCTGTGGGAAAATCCGGTAGGAGTATTTTCTTGATTAATATCTGACCTGAGATGGCCCAGCCCACTTCGGGTAGTGCCACCCCTAGGCAGGAGGTCTTGGGTTGTATAAAAAAAGCAAGTTGAGCAAGGGATGGAGAGCAAGCCAGTAAGCAGCCTTCCTTTGTGGTTCTGCCTCCAGGTTTCTGTCCTAATTGAGCTCCTGCCTTGACTCCCTTCAGCGATGCTGTCATTGGGATGGATAAGCCAAACAGTTTCCTCCCCGAGTTGGTTTTGGTCAGTGTTTTATCACAGCCATGGAAAGTAAACTACAATACCTCCTATGTCTAGGGATGGCACCTCTTTAGCTAATCCCCACCCCTGTGTCCCTTAGTCCTTTTCCTTCCAACCGTTTCTGGACACAGATAGCACATGACTGAGGCTTCAACATCCATTGTCACCAGAGGTATCTTATTTGGAGTTGATTTTTTAAAGGACCAAGATAAATGGAGTGACCTAAATCCAGACCTCCTTGCAGCATCCTGAGCATGTCTCTGTGGAAAGAGCAACTTGGATGGGAAGCTCTTTTGTGCTCAGAACCACTGTGCTCACAAAGAAGATGGAAGAAGATGACGTGTGTGCAGATAATGCTCCCTGACTTCTCAGCATCTCCAAAGGACCAAAAAAGAGCTGGCTATACACCCTTGGAGACTAGCCTGTGGAAACCCCTCCAGAGGAGAGGGTAGAAAGATCAGGGTCAAGGTCATGGAGCTGAGATAGTCAACCCGCGGGGAAGCCTTGATGCCAGTCCTGCCCACTTGTCTCTGTCACCTTTCATTGAGCCACTTTGAAGTGTCTCCATCACAGAGAAGAGAACTATCCTAACTACGTGTACTTGAGTGTGTCATGTTTACCTTGATGGGTAAAAGGGATAATGACGAATCTTTAAAATCAAAATCTGGTGACCTCAGTTGAATGGGTAACAGGGATAGAATGTCACTCTGTGATCATGTGACAGTCTATAAGAACCTTGGTATGGCCCCCAAAGGGAGTGGCACTATTAGGAGGTATGACCTTATTGGAGTAGCTATGGAGGAAGTGTGTCATGTCACTGTGGAAGTGGGCTTTGAGGTCTCATATATACTCAAGCCACACCCAATGTCTCAGATCACTTTCTGTTGCCAGCGAGTCAAGACACAGGCTTCTCAGCTCCTTCTCCAGCACCATGTCTGCCTGCACGCCGCCAGGTCACGCCATGATGATAATGGACTAAACCTCTGAAATGTAACCCACCCCAATTAAATGTTTTTCTTTTATAAGAGTTGCTGTGGTCATGGTGTCTCTTCACAGCAATTGAAACCCTTACTAAGACACTCAGTGAGGGTGGAGGTTCCCACTAAAGGAATTCTTGGGAAAATGTACATGTCTGTATTAATATTGCAATGGTTCATTGTACTTTTCCATGGGACACCCTCCAGGAAATGCTGCAGACACAAGTGTGCAGCAAGCCCTATTCCTGAAAATCCAGTGCCAGAGAAAGAGGTGCATTTCTCACACCTCTACTGCTCAAGGAGAACTGAACTGTGGCTAAGGGGCTCTTTCTGTTTGCACAGATCCCCAATTGTGTCAGATTTCCATCCCTGGGACCTTCACCTTCTAAGGTTTTATTTGCTCGTATTTCAGATGGTTCAGGTCATGTTTGCTCTGGACCCATGGTGAGGAGGAACATCATGGTGGGGAGCAAAAGAGGGACATAGGAAAACGGTCACACCAACAACCTCTCTTCTAGCTTCCTTTCCATGGCGGTGACAGCACCATTATAAAGTAATTCGGGGAAGAAAGGATCAGTTTGGATTATACTTTCAGGTCATGATTCACTGAGGGATGTCAAGGCAGAGGCTTAGGGAAGATCTACTTGCTATTCCACACAGATGAATAGAAATGGGTTAATTTAAGATATAAGAGCGAGCTAGCAAAACACTTAAGTGATTGGCCAAGCAGTGATTTAATTAATGTAGTTCCTGTGTGATTATTTCGAGTCTGAGCAGACAAGAACAAACGAGCTGTCTCTCACAACATGTCTGGGGGTGTGTGGTGCTCGAGATCCAATAAAAGTGGGCAAAGAGGCAAAGATAGCTAAGTACCAGCCTGCCTTATGCCTCCTGGTGGGGTCAAATGTGAGGAGTCCCAGCCACACAGTCCCAGTCCCACCATCATGAACCTTGCCATGTCTTCCCTACCAGACCCCCCTCTCACCCAGAAAGCCAAAATAAAACCATTTCCCCCACCATGGCTTCTTGTCTAGTGTTTGGTCACAGGAGAGAAGAAGGGTAGGCAGTACAGGCTGCAGGCTGCAGGCCTCCCACTCCTGGTACATATGAGAGGGTGTGAAGGGCAGAAGCCAATGGATCCCAGGAAGGGGTTCCTTTTACATGGAACTATGCCATCCATGCATCAAAGACACAGAAGTTTAGAGTGTATTACACTCGCATATGGATTTTATCTATGCATCTCTGGGACATACCCTACCTTGTGGGTGTGGAGTCATCATCCCAACTCACAGGCATCCCAGTTCCCAAGATCTGGAATCTTCTTCTTCTGGCTAAGGTCCTGGGTGAGCCCAGTCAGGCTGCAGGTGTGGGCAGACTCCACCCTGTCCTCCTTAGGCCAGGTGATACGGACTGCCTGCACCTGCACGTTCCTGGAGCCCAGCTCTGAAAATCTTTGGCATGGCTGTAATGGGGAACAAAGGCTGGGTATAAAAAGCCACACAAGGGCAGTGGAAGCCACATACATGCCCTTGGACCCCTCTCCTCTGATCTGCCTACCTGCTGAAAGACGCAGTGTGCCAATCCCAGCTGCCGCCTGCTTGGCTATGACGCGACAGGAAGCCTGAAGTGACCTCTGGCTTCCCAGGATCCCTGGAGGTACACTGTGCCGTCGCGTCCTGCTTGTCTTTCCCAAGGGTGAGCCTGGGGAACCCCAAAGGTAGAAAGTGCTCTTTGAGAGAAACATACAGAAGTGCCAACAAAATTAAGCCGAGGGCTCGAAAGTGGTCCCTGAGTGCACACTTCTCATGGTCCTTTGCCCTCCTCTCCATTGCCCTCAGCCTGGCAGGGTGAGACTGCCTTCTGTGGGGAGCCTAGGGAAGAGCCAGAGCTATAATCAACACCATCCACCCCCGAACCTGACATACCATCACTTGGAACGAGGGTCCATCGGTGCACCACCTGGAGGGAAAAGGTTGAGCTATCACCAACCAGGCAAAGGCATGGTGCCCTACCGGCAGTCTGTAAGCACTGTCGGTCACTCTATAGTAGACCCTGGAAAGCCCTGAGCACGGGGAGGCGTCTGGTACCTGGGGATTTCTATAATGGTTCTACATGTATGCACATGCACAGGTGTGCTTGTCTGTGAGTGTGCAAGTGGAGGCTGGAGATTGATTCCAGGTATCTTCTTTGCCTTATTTTTTGAGACAGGGTTTTTCGCTGAAATCTGGAGCTCGCCAATTCATTATACTGGCTGGCCAATAAGCTTTGGAGATTTGCCTAGCCCCATACCACCCCCACCTAGCACTGGGGTTTTTACACAATGCCCGCCACACTGCTTTGCCTTGTTTTCATATGGGTGCTGGGAATCTAAACTCAGGTCTTTGTGACTATGCAGCAAGCACTTGGCTGACACTGCCATCCCCTAGCCTTGGGATGTTTCTTCAATAGCCTCTTTTACTAAAGTGACCAGGAATACAGAGAAACAATGGTGAACCTGGATATGGAGAGAGGGCTGATCAAGTCACAGGCTTTCCAGAGAGAACTGAAACACTGGCCAGGAACGAGTTGGACAGAGAGAACCCAAAGGGAGCGATACAGGATGATGCGCAAAATAGGAAGTTGCCTGGATGGCAGCTCTTCGAAGAGCATCCTCTCTGCCCCAGGACTCCTTCTCCTGTCTTCTGAAGCACTTCATAAAGACACTGTCATTCGCCTGCCTCTTCTCCAGGCAGCATCTTGCCAGAAAATAAAGGTTCTCCGTGTGCTATCCTCAGTCATCTGCAGAGCTGATGGAGTCATAGTCTAGTCTGCTTCAGAAGGGAGTATCCTGTTAGTTTACCATTGCTATGATAAAATACCTGAGGCTAAGGACTGTATAAAGAAAAAGAGTTTACTTCACATAAAGTTTTGGAGGCTAAAAGTCTACCCCTAGGCAGCTCCAGCCAGTCAAACTCTGTTGACACAAGTTTCTGTCCAGCCTGGTCCCACAGCCGTTCAAGTCCCAAAGAAACACACAGAGGCCTACATTAATTATAAACTGGTTGGCCTTTAGCTCAGGCTTCTTATTAATTAACTCTTACATCTTCCATTAACACATAATTCTTGTCTGTGTTAGCCACATGGCATGGTACCTTTTCTTAGTGAGGCATTCTTATCTTGTGTCCTCTGCATCTGGGTGATGACTATAGACTGAGCCTTTCCTCTTCCCAGAATTCTCCTGTTCTGGCCGCCCCACCTATACTTCCTGCCCGGCTACTGGCCAACCAGCATTTTATTAAACCAGTGCGAGTGACAAATCTTTATCGAGTACAAGACCATTGTCCCACAGCAGCGGTCTGTATTAGTATGCATCTCTGATGCTGTGATAAACACTATGGCCAAAAGCAACTTGATGAGGAAAAGATTTAATTTGGCTTACCCTTCCAACTGGCAGTCCATCACTGAAGTAAGTCAAGGCAGGAACCTGGAGACAGGAACTGAAGCAGAGGCCATGGAGGAGTGTTGCTGACTGGCAGCTTGCTTTTTTTACACGACCCAGAATCACCTGGCTAGAGGTGACACTGCATTACAGTGGCCTGAGTCCTCCCACTTCAATCATTCACTAAGAAATTCCCCCTTAGACATACCCGCCTGTCTGGTGGAGATTTCCTCTTCCCAAATAGGCCTTGGTTTGAATGAAATTGACAAAAACTTGGTCGCACCGTAGGTCAGGAAGCGCTATACTCAAGAACTAACCTGGACTGCAGAACAGTTTCCTCTGACCTATGACCTCCAACTAGGCTCCATCTCTCAACCTTGTGATATTGCTATGTGGGGGAATCAAACTTCAACACGCAAACCCATTGAACACATCCTCAACCCATCTCTAAGCCAGAGCCACAGACTGCGATGAACACAAACTAAGAATGGGAATTAATTCCTAATTCCCAATGTAATTTTAAAAAAATTATTCATAAAAAGTTTGGGAGAAAGTATATATAGATCCAAATAGATTCTAATATAGGCACCTTTGGAATGGGGACTGTCACTGCACTGGGCTAACCCCTTTTGTGAAGGGGATGAGTGAATTTTGGTTGTATGAGGAATGGCAGAAACCTCTAAGCCAGTGATCTTTGCAAAATGTGAAAATATGGTTACAAATAAAATAGTCTGTGATACCCTGAGTCAGCCATGTCTCTTCCTGTGCTCGCTATCATCTGAGCCCCCAAATCTGGAAAATCTACTGTCATGTCAGACCTGGCTGGGGGTAAGACCAGCCAGTTCATGGGCACAAGATCAAAATTCTAGATGGGTGTTTGTCCAGCACCGTGTGTGCCTAATTCTCTTGATGCTGTTGGAGGTATCAAGGAGAGGGAGTTTCAGTAGAGCTGCCTAGTATTCTAGTATTTAGTTACCAGCACCAGGGGCCATGGCATCTAATGGGGCTGTTTCCCAAAAGCCATTCAGGCCACAGCTAAGATCTATAGTCTTAGACCCACCTCATTGCCAAGCCCAGGTCCCCAGTAGATCCTCTGAGTTTCTTAACACCCATTCCTCAGTCTCCTCTGGTTAAGTAAGCTGGAGCTGGGCACTGCTGTTGGCAAGCTCTAGGCTGCCTAGTCATCCTGCTGTGAACATCTCTTCACTCTTGCTGGCACTGGGTGGGAGAGGAGGCATCACGGTTCTGGAAAGAAGTGGCATCGAAGACCGAATATAACACAGCTTGTGCACGACAAAATTCCCTTTATTGATATTAATCACAGTTACAAGGTCTCATCCAGCAGAAAGAACAATTTGCAGTAACAGAACTACACACCAAGACACAAGACCAAAATACACACATGTGCCAATCACCAAACCAGCCTCAGCCAACCAAATCTCTGAATGCGCCTTCAATTTTGATCACCAGTGCTTCCGAAGAACGTACGTACTCCCAGCTGAGGTTGGCCTCTGAGATCTTGAGCGTTTGCAGCTACGGTATTCACCCTTAGAGGGACGGAACACGTAAACACAGAGTAGACCCTGTTAACCCAGTACCTGAATGCCTGGCTCCCAAGTGGAGTCCACTCTGAGTCCCACACACACTACCGATCAGGAGGGCTCAGGTCTCAGGCGTGTTGTGAGAGCTACTGGGGGAGCTACATATATGATGGAGCAGGTTAGTCTAGGTCCAGTCATTCCTCAGGGTCACCTCAGACTGGGAAGTTTTCTAAGAAAGGAAATGTAAAAATACACCTGCCTACCCCCCCCCCCCCCCCCCCCCCCCCCCCCCCCCCCCCCCCCCCCCCCCCCCCCCCCCCCACCCCCCCACCCCCCCCCCCCCCCCCCCCCCCCGCTTTCTCATTTGAAGCCCTCTGGCCAGATTCCGACAAAGCCTACCAAAGCTCAGGGGTCTGGGTGGGTTATGTTTCCAAATTGCCAGCAGAAAAAGAGCCTTAGCTGGCTCTAAAGGTCACTCATCCCCTGGAGCAAACTTAAGTAACTCCATTAGTAAAGGAGGGGCTGAGTACTTGCTGTTTGCTAGGATCCACAAGTCTGGGGGGGGGGGGGACAAGGGCTGTAAACACATCAGGATTAAGAGCTGGGAGATCTAAGAACCATGACTAATCGCTCTGTTCTGACCTGCCAGAGGCTCAGCTCAAAGTCATACTTTCACCCCTTTTCACAGAGCACACTGTGTGTGTGCTCACGGTCACCCTAATTTCCAAATTTCTCTAGCATCAAAAATGCCAATATTTGCCTTAGGACAAAAGAGAAGACTAGCTGACTCCCTGTCCTTTGTGTGGGGGTCTTCAGTGTGGCCTCCCTGGAGGAAGCAGACCCTGCTTGAGCTGGCTCAGCCTTGGAGAACAGCCTTCTGTGCTCGTGATGCGTCTGTCCTGGTATTCTAGGTGTCATTCTAGGTGGACAGAAGCTCCACAGTTGAGAGAGCACAAGGGGCTCTGGCCACCTGCTCTAAGACCCTAAGCCAAGATGCTCAGGACTCATGTCCCAAGAGCTGACTTCTGGAGGTGACCCTGAGGAGCTGAAGTCCAGTCTAGTGAGGGGGGCTGGAGGTGGGACAGGAGGGGCTGGCCTTGACAAGCCTACTGAAGACAGATTCCTTCCATTCAGTGGCCCAAACACAAATCTCCAGTCCTATGACGCCTTGAGATTACAAAGAAAACCAGCTTCTCCCTCCAAAGCAAAATGAAAAATCAAAACGTAATCAGAGCTAATCCGGGTAGGTGGCAGAGAGGAGAGAAAGGGATGCGGTGTTAAGGTGAAGAGAGAGGCTCGCGGTCCTGCAGAAGTCCGGCACTTTCCTTCCTCGGGTCCCAGGGTTGTCGGAGCTAGCCGAGGCCCACATCCAGGGACATCATCACCACGAATCCCAGGATGGAGGCCCAGGAGGCCAGCTTCCCGTTGCCACTAGAAGGAAAGGAGGGAAAATGATACTTCCTATGGCCTTGTCCAAGCTTATGGCCTCTTCTGCAATACCCAGCTACAACACTAAGTATCTTACTAAAGGTGGCAAAATGGACAAGTGGGTATCACAGGCCAAGGGAATGCTGAGTCCTAGTCCTGAGCATAAAATGTCCTCACTAGGCTGTGGTTTCTGAGGCTGCAAAACAGTGAAATCGTTTGAGCATGGCTCTCCAGCTCACGCTTGAATAGCAATCAGGAGATGTCTTAGTCTGGGTTTCTATTGCTCTAATGGAACACGGGTCTTTCTGGCTTAGACTTCACCACTGCTGTTCATCACTGAAGGAAGGCAGGGCAGGAGCCTGGAGGCAGGAGCTGATGCACAGGCCACGGAGGGGTGCTGCTTACTGACTTGCTTCTTATGACTTACTTCAGCCTGCTTTCTTATAGAGTCCAGGACCAGCAGCCAGGATGGTACCACCCACAATGGGCTGGACCCTCCTCCATTGATCACTAATTGAGAAAATGACACCTGGCCCATGGCAAGGTAACGAAACACACATATACGGCTACGGTTTGCATCTTTGAGTCCACCGTTCTCCTCATTCCAACAGAGAGGGAGAGAGAGAGAGAGAGAGAAAGAGAGAGAGAGAGACAGAGAGAGACAGAGAGACAGAGAGAGACAGACAGAGACAAAGAGTCTAAAGGTGACCATCGATTTCACCAAGGGTTAGGGGCCCCTGCCTTATGGCACTGTGAGATGTCACCTTCCTTCTCTTCACTTCAGTTTTAGCAAGCAAAGGAGGGACAGGAGCAATCGTTGGAAGGGCAGAGGGATCTTGGGGATAAGAAAAGACAGAGGGAGAGCAGACAAGTGTGAAAGCGGCAGGGGTGGGGCAGGGGAGTCTCAGATTAGGCCTGGCGCAGGGGGGGAGACAGCTGGGCAAGCTCTTCACCTCATCTGGGCTTCAGGAATGATGTCGTCCATGACCACGTAGACCATGGCACCAGCAGCAAAGGCCAGCGCATAGGGCAGGACAGGCTCGGCCAGCACCACGGCAAAGGCTCCAAAGACCCCAGCCAAGGGCTCCACCATGCCGCTCAGCTGTCCATACCTAAGGAGGAAACGGAGACATTGAACAATGCAGGGAGATCCAAGCAGATGTGACACTTGCCCAGACTGCTGACTCAACCCTAGAAAGCAGACGTATGTGGTGGGCATCTGGTCTGGCCATGTTCTAAGAAGCACCTCCCGCTCCTTGCCCCGATCCCACTGAAGCAGTTACGGTAGCTTCATATCCCTTATCGCCTTTGGATCTTTAAGTTGCCTATATCATCTTTTGACAACGACAATTTGATTGGGACATAGTTTGCAACCCGTGTAACATTTACCGCATTGACAAGTGGTTTTTTATAGATTTACAAGGTTAAGTGAGCATCACCATTGATTCTGATATCTTTATCACCCTAAAAAGAAGCCGATGGCCATTAGCAGCTGTGCCCTATTTCTTCCTCCTCCCAGCCCATCACCATGAATCTCTCTCCATCTCTTTTCCCTCTGTATGTTTTCTGCCTCTGGATATTTCCTATAAACAGAACCATATATGGGTTTTTTTGTTTGTTTTTGAGGGGTGAAGAGAGAATGGCTTATTTCTCCTAGCGTAATATTTTCAAGATATATTCTTGCTATAGCATGTATTTTTCTCTTTTAAAAAACAAGTTTAGAGTGTGTGTGTTTCCACGAACATACCAGCAGGACAGACAGTCCTCTGATGTACCCAACCCCTGCCTGTAGCCTTGTTGTCTTTGGAAAATGTGGCTTTGACATCAAACCCAGACTAGAGTTTGAAGAAGAGAACAAAGCTTCACTTCCCGATTTTGGTGCGGATCACAAATCTCTGCATCTCCCCTCTCCTTTCTCCCGGGTGCCTCAACTGTCAGAAATGACAGCTGTGACTTTGGTAGGTTATGAACCTCTCTAAGGCCACCCACTTCCCTTGTCTCCCAAATACTCTACTTGAGGGTCTCTGACAATGGAGAAAGGGATCTGGAGAGGGCAGAAACGCAGTCACTTGAGCACTGGGCAAACTTGCAAGTCACGGAGTCTTATACAATGGAAGGCGTTTTAAAATTGTCCCTGTCCGCAGTCTGCATGAGTGTGGTGACCTTATGTTACGGATCAGTGATTGTTTTAGCAGAGAAAGGTGGGAGGCCTGTGCCCCAAGTGGAGGACACATGAGAAAAGCTGTTATTATAATGACTCACTGGGTCAGGTCGTGGCAAGAAGATCCTCAGCTGGGCATATTGTGACATTTAGAGGAGACATGTTATGGGGTGAGTGGCTAGTGCAAGGGCCATGGGTAGCTTTCCACAGAAGCCTTTGAAAAGGGACACAGACACTCAAGCCAGTCGTGCAAAGGTCAAAGGTTAAGAGATGAGCTTGTGTCTTGGGGTCTCCACTCTGTGTATGGCATTCATCCATACTTGTGGTGTTCTTCCAGAGAAGCCCCACACTGGCTTCCAGCATGAGCCTGACCCTGAAAAATGGAGTTCACGCCCAGTAGTCTACACCACTCCCTTCTGAGCCAACAGGCTGGCACACTCACCAGAAGGCTCTCCAGGTAGAGAAGCCAGCTCCACGCAGAGGGAGGCTGACAGCCAGGCCCTCAGGGAAATTCTGGATCCCAATTCCAATGGCCAAATTCCTGCAAAGAAAAAAAAAAGTCAAGAAGGCACAAGTCCTAGTAAACTTTGACTACTTAACATAGCCCAGGGTCATCCTAGAGAGGAATTCATTTGGTCAGACTAGCCTGTGGGCGACATCAGTGGGCACTGTCTTGATTATTAATTGCTTAGGAGAGCCCAGTCCACTGTGAGCTGCACTATTCCCTGGGCTGTATCAGAAAGCTAACTAAGGATAAGCCTGAGAGCAAGCCAGCAATCAGAGTTCCTCCACCATCTCTGCTTCAAGTTCCTGATCGATTTTCTGTCCTGATGTCCCTCGGTGGTGGAGTGTAGTCTGCAAGCCAAGATAAGCCATTTTCTCCCCTAAGTTGATCTTGGTCAGTGTCTGAATCATAGTAACAGAGAAGAAATTAGAATAACACATAAAACTTATTGTCTGGAGTCATGTACTGTGTTGGTTTGAAAGAACATGACCCCTCTCGGGAGCGGCATTATTAAGAGGCGTGGCCGTGTTAGAGGAAGTGTGTCACTGTGGGGATGGGCCTCGAGATCTCCTATGCTCAACCCGTGTGCAGTGTCATGGTTCACTTCATGTGGCCTTGGGTTGAGATGCAGAATCGTCAGTCTCTTCTCCAGCACCAGGTCTGCCTGTATGCGACCAAGTCCCACCATGATGATGATGATGATGGACTAAACCTCTGAAACTGTAAGCCGGGCCCAGTGAAATGTTTTCCTCTGTGCCCTTGAGTGTCTGCATCTCATTTTCCCCAGAAGGGACAGCAGAGCCAGCCCAAGGAAGTAAATATGCAGAATGAAGCTGACACTCTGCGGCTCCAGGCTCAGGTTTCCCAGGGACCCTTGCTGCATTTCTCTATGCTTGGGCGGTGCTCTCTGTGAGAGCCTCTGGCCTTCTGCCTCTGCAAGAGCTGAAGGGCACTGTTGTGCTGTGTGCCCGAGTCAAACGCCAGGGACCTATCTATGAGAGACATCTTTATGCAGAAGCCGAATATTAGATCACGGTGAAGGAAGAATGGGAACGCGGTAGGCACAGGGGCAATACATAACTGATCAAGGGAGGCGAGGTAAACACATGATTAGAATTTATAATGCACACACGTGGGCACTCATGCTACGTGCAAAGTAAGGAGAGATGCCACAGGAGGGAACGGGGCCAGTCTGAGGACAGCAGAAAGGCAATATGAAACTACCTGGACAAGACTTGACCTTGGCTGGACAAGTCTAGGAATGGTGCTTCCATGGAAGGCCCTTCTGACTACAGAGCTTCAAGGGCGTCAATCACTTAACAATGCTGGCCTGTGGGTCTGAACATATTGTTGGTGGTCTATATGGAAAAGAAAAAACTGCCTCATGCTTGGCTTTCTGGTCAATTGACTCCTGTCTGTCTGCTTGGCTCCCAATTTGCTTTTCAGTTCTGCACAGACACAAGGGAGAGCTGAAGATCAACATCTTATCTGGTCCTTACTGGCCACTTCATGTTTGTTCCCAGGCTCCGGGATAAGAAAATAATTTGCTGCCTTGAAAGCCCACCAGGCCAGCTCTGGCCATGGCCAGTCTAGACACCAGCAAAGAGCACAAGGGATAACAGTCAGTATTAAATATCACATCTCCATCTTGTCTGGGGGCCTCATCTCATCTTCATCATTTTTGCCTTCATCCACCATCACCATATATGTACACTTATCTCATACAGGGCTCATTGACCCTGTATCCTGGGACCATTTCAGGGTGTCTCTTAGACAAAGACTAACGCTACCAGAATTGAACTTAGAAATATCCAGCTGGTATGCACTCCATTTGGTTAACTCAAAGGTTGGAAAACTTGGTCATCATTTTTGGCAGACCTATTTGAGAAGGATTAGAAGGTATGGTCTTCTTGGAGGAGGTGTCACTGGGGGCAGGCTTTGTGGCTTCAAAAAAATAACCAGTGCCATTTCCAGTGTGCTCTCTGCCTCTGCTTTCGGTCTGAGATCTGAGCTCTCAGCTGTCTCTACCGCCATGCTTTGCCTCCACTCTCCCATCATGGGCTCTACCCCTCTGGAGTGGAATAAGCTCAATTGAATATTTCTTTGATTTGCCTTGGTCATGGTTATGATTTCTAGTCAACATAGAAGACCCAAATACAGTTTTTTTTTTCTAGAAGCCTCTTCTACCGGTTTTATGTTCAAAAAGACCCTGAACTCCTATTCGAGGAAGGGGGGCACGGGCATACATTTCTGTGACATAAACAAACCTCAAGAACTTGCTGACAGTGCTCTCCACACAGTCTTCTCCACAGCTGCTGGCGGCACTGCCCTTTCCTTTACGTGCAGTGTCTTCCAGTGGCCGCTGCCTCTCCCTAGATCGTGGTCAAATAAGACCAGCTTTCTTGGCCTTTTGCAGAGCCCAATGCCAAAAAAAAAAAAAATCTTTTTTTCCCAAAGAGATCAACCTAGGGCAGTGGTTCTCAACCTTCCTAATTCTGCAGCCCTTTAATAGTTTCTCATGTTGTGGTGATCCACTCCACACACAATAAAATTATTTCCTTTCTACTTCATAACTGCAATGTTGTTACTGTTATGAGTCATAATGTAAAGATCTGATGTGGAACTCCAAAGGGGTCATGGCCCACAGGTTGAGAACCATTGGCCTAGGGGTCAAACTAGGTCCTCTGTCTCTTCTCTGATGCAGAGGCAGAGCTTGGTGGCGGGCTTGTAGTCCACTGTTAGTAGTTACCCTCCCGTACACCCAGGCAGGAACATGTTAGGAGTGGACATGGAGTCACCAATCCTGGGTCACCAGCAAGTTCAAGGTGATGCTTTCTGCCCAAAGCCCGGCCATCTACCAGTCAGGCTGGGGAAGCCTCCTCCACATCCTGCCCTGGAGCTGGGCCCCTGATAAGCAGCACAGAAACCCCATTCTTCTGTCCTTGGAAACCCTCGCTGTCACTGCCCTGCCCTAGCGCTGGCACAGGGTTTCTAGCCGCACCCCAAGATTGTGCCAGGTCTTTCTCTTCAGGGCACTGGTTTGCTGTGTGATCAGGAAGTCCATCCTGAGCATACCATGGGCTCCTGAGACCATGGTGCGGGCTGAAACTACAGCCTCCTTCCTTCCTACACAACCTTCTACAACAGTTCTCCTTTGTATAAGGCACTGTGTGTGTGTGTATGTGTATGCATGTGCGCATGCGCACACACACACAGGCCAGCTGTGTTCCAATCCCCAACTGTACGTCATGTTTCTTTCTTATTGCTCTAACAAAATGCCTAACACAGACACCTTAAGGAAGGGAGGATTTGCTTGCTTCAGTTCACAGTTTCAGAGTGCTTAGTCTGTGGTCACGTGGCTCCACTGTGTCTCGGTCATAGTGAGACAGAGTATCATGGCAGAGAGCACATGGCAGAGCTGTTCCCATGACATCAAGAAAGGAAGGGAGACACAGAGGAAGGGCCCAGGACAAGAGACAACCTCCAGGGACATGTCTCTATCAATTTCTAACTAGTTCCCACACCCGTGAGTGTCCTTCAGCTCCCCAAATGCCATTGGATTATGAATCTATTAATAATAAAAAATGAGGTCAGAGCCATTACAATCTGATCACATCTCAGTGACTGGATTGATAAGCTGGGGGCAAAGCCTTCAATGTGTGAGTCTTTAGGAGACACTCCAGATCCAAAGTCCAACAGATGCCAGAGGGGCAGGGAAGGGGTCTCTTCTTCATCGCCTGCATCAGCTCTGGAAAGGGATTTGAATCCCCAGCCCTCAGAACCAGTTCTCCATTCCAGGCACCAGGGAGCTGTACCACACACCTTGACCGGGACACTCTGAAGACTGACAAACTATAGGACCCATGTCTGTGAAGTCTGAAGACAATGCTCTGGTGGGGATCAATGAGTAACAACATCAGCAGGTGTGAGGATGGAGGTGGTGGGTGAGGGCTGCTAGCTTGGCTCTCAACGCAGAATGGGAGCCATAGATGCTGGGGGTGGGGGCGCTTGAGGCTCTATAGAGACTCTGCAGACTGGGTATCTATTCTACATAGAATCCAACTTGGGAAGCCCTGGAGGGGATTCCAGGGAACAGGGGCGGGACCAACCAAGCAGTAGTGGCCACAGTGATGGGACTGCAGAATGGGGTGCAGGGGATACTAACGAACACTTGAGGGGAGGGAGGGAGACACTCAGCTGTCAGGGAAGGTCTTCAGAGGACAGACTCTGAGCCTACTTCTGGATGTGCTGGCATGGATGGGAGACTGTGAGGAGAAAATGTACCTACAGAGCTGGTGGCTTAGAGAAGGCCCCACCACAGTCCTGTAACCAAGCACTTACTGAGGCATTCTTGAGGTAATAGGCCTGGCTGATCTCCTTCCTTGCAGCTTGGAGAAGGAAAAGCTGAGATGAGGGGTTTCTTTTCTAGGAGCTGCCACAAAATTCCAAGCAGTATTCAAAGAGGGCGGGGCACAGATGGGATGGCACACAAACCTAAGCCTGTCACTGCAGCCCTCAGAGCCAGCCAAGGTGCTGTTTGGAGTTTTGTTTCTCCTGCTCCCCAAAACAAATACCTCATGACCAGCCCACATGAATATGGGAATAGTAGCTTTCCTTCCCTGAGCAGCCACACCTCCTAGTGACCTCTCACCAGGGCCTGGCTGCCAGGTTTGAGAGAGGGGACCTTGACAGAGGGCCAGGAAAGGGTTTACAGGATACCGTATCACTAGCAGAGGCCAGGGCAGGTAAGTGGCTCCCAGGGAGCCAGGCTGCAACTGCAGAGGCAGGAGCAGTCCTGAGGAGGCCTCTCCTGGGAAAGGTGAGCCAAGGGTCTGTGGGGGAAGGGCTGCAGCTCAGAGGAGTTGGCTTTGGCTTAAGTGCCCAAACTTCTACTTTCCTTTTCCTGGGGAGTCAGAATTTGCCAGGGCGGACCAGACCCAGAGAAATGGCTACTTGCAGCCCAGCTTTGGGGGGTTAGAAATTAGGCTTGTTTTAAAATCTCATTTCACAACATACTTGGGTAGAGGGGGGAGGAA